CCGATTGAGATCAAAATCCTGACCGTGTTCAGAATTCTATTGCTTCCAAAATGTGCACTTGTACAACTTTTGAATATAAATAATTGTATGTAGGAATCGCAGGATGAAAATATTCATAATAAAGATTGAATAATTCAATATTTAATGATATGATAAATCATATATTCAGAGAAAACTTCTCGATAAAACTGTTTTGCAAGCTGTCTATATACGCTCTTCTGACCTGACCTACTGGCCCTAAACTCTTTTCTTATCTTCTTGTACATACTTATATTATATGTCTTATGCAAGTTGAAAATGTATAGGAAAGTGGAGAGAGAAGGGAGGGAACTAGGGAAGATGTCAGGAAGAAAAGTTCAGATAAAAAGACATTTACCACAGTTACAGAGAAAGTGCCATTTGCCTATAAACTACAGTGTACAGAAGCTTTAGATTTTAGTCAAAGAACATACAAATTTTGGATTCCATTTAAATATTAAAAACAACAACAAAAGCACACTTTCCACACACACACAGAGAGAGAGAGAGAAAGCAAGCAAATATCCTTGGAGCTTTTCCGAATTACAGAACACACACAAAATTATCATCTGTCCGACTGTGTGTGTGCATGCCTGTGCTTTGGCAATAAATTCAATTGTGAACTGGGTCAAGGCCATGCCAACAGCTTCTAACTGGGCCAAAAACCAAAAAGCGCGTGGTCCAGCGACATAAAAAACCACTCTAGAAATACTGAATCGGCTAACAGGACCAAAAAGAGCCCAAGTGTCCCCATTTAAGCAAATAATTAGCACAACACACAAAACGAAACTAAGCAAACGACAATCTAGTGTATCTACACGGAATGGTGTACAGATATAAAACTTCTAGAGCATTTACCAGGTTAAAAGTAGCCATGTTCTACACCCATGTAATTCCTTAGCATTCTATCAACTGCTGCATGCAACAAAAAAAATACAAATCTATAGAGTTTCAGACTGGAAATGTAGTGTGTCTCAACTACTGGTACTAGTCTAGAATTTGAATATTCATAAAAAAAACAGGGTACAGTACTCCTCTGCGGCGGATTAACCGATATTCCGTAGTTGGTTTAGAGACATTCGATTTCAAGTCAAGCAACTTTCTACGAAGCAAAAAATTCCCAAAAACCGGGTACAAAAATACAAATTCTTCGTAGATAATATTAAAATTAAACGTCGTCATGATCAGCATGATCGTTGCCTTTACACGGATGCAGCGCGAAAATAAATAGCAAACGGGCAGAAAACAACGAAAGAACGAGCAGAACAAAAAAAAAACCAACAACAACCAGCCAACGAGATACATTCACAGAGATATGAACATTAATATTATTGCTTCATTTCGCTTCCATTCCCCTTGCACCCCCCCACTTCTTTCCCACCTTTTGATCATCAACAAATAACCGCAATGCTGATTAAAGCAAGAGAGAGGAAGGGAGAGAGCGAGCGAGAGGGCAGAGAAAAAGCTCGCAATCTCATACATAGAAACCATTTTTAGCCGACCTTGAACTTGAACGAACTTGAACGAACACGACGACAGCAGCAGCGACGACGACTACGACGACGAATGCCTCGAGCATTGTGTTGTTGCCGATTGAACAATTAACAAAACTGCAGATAAGTTGGTGGCGAGAGGAGCTGGAGAGAGCGGCAACAACAGCTTTGTGGATATTCAAATAAAAGATACTCTTAGAGATACCTCAGACCTCACCACTAGAGCCAAAAACAAAGTCAAAAACAAGATTCTTGTACAGAAAACAGAAACAAACGGGTGATTAGAGGTGGCAGAGGAGATGGCGAGATTATGGGGCAGCGAAGAAAACTAAATGAGAGCTTTTAAAGCATTTACAGCTTTCAAAGAAAGAGAGAGCGAGCCCAAATAATTGCTGATATAACATTTAATGAATGGCCCTAATCTGCATAGGTCTACTACTAAATCAATCTCTAGAGCGATATTAGGTATTGTCTGTGTAGATCGATTCTTTCATTCCAGAGCATTGTAATGTGGTTTGGGATTCGTGTTTGATGTTTTGTGGTTGGCAACGCTTCGAGCAATTTCCGTTTCAAACGTTTCCGTCGAGAAACAAACACACGCCAAACGCAAAATTAAGTTTCAAGTAAAATATATAGAATATGTACAATGTAAGTTTAATGTGTAGGTATACTTAAAAATAAACCAGAAAAAAAACGTATTCATTTAAATGTATAGGTAGCATCGGAATTACACTATAGCTTACCCTGGGCAGCGGGGCGTCTCAAAGAGCGCCCAATCCCGCTCACATCCGCTTTTCACAGCCATTTTGTAAGCGGGAATATCGTGCACATTACCTGGAATTTTGCTGGAAATTTGTTTCTTGATGGTGGAGTAGAGGATGGTTTGGAATCTGGGATATGGGGATATGGGAAACTGGGGACGGATGGAGGAATGGTTGAACGAAAATCAACTTAAAATACAAAAATTTATTTCATTTTTGCATGTCACTTCGCCCAACCGATACCGTTGAGCGAAGCATACTTACCTGGGGGATACCTGATCTGATCCGGCTGAAGACGTGGCTCCGCTGCAGACTGCTGCCTGGGTCTCGTGCAGATGCCTAAAGCCGCAACTGTACCTCACCATCCACCGGATGGCTACAAGCTTTGTATCTGGCACTGACTTGACCTGCAACAGACAGCAGCATCTCTGTGATCCTCCCCCGCTGATTCATCTGGTGGTGGGGCAGTCCATTCCAAGTCTTCGACGCCGTTGACTGATTACACTTTTGCACTTGACTTTTCAAAGGTTGGGGTTTGGGGTTTGGTTTGGTTTTTACAGGAATGCGCGACTATGCGAAACTCTGTTCTCTCTGTGAAGGCCACAGGGAACGTTTGCGCATAGCTGGAGAATACGGATGGATACCGGAGAGACGGAGGCGGAAGCGCGGAGAAGCGTGATAGGAACGCGCCCGGGCTTTGGAGCGTGATCCCCAAAGCGTGATCGGAAAAGCTTACAGACTAGCATAAAAACTAAATACAAATTCATATGGAAAATAAACAGAAAGAAAAAAAAGTCCCGTCAACCAAAATAAAGCAAAATATATATGTAGTAATAGATATAGGTACTAAAATACAATTTAAAACTGCATGCGTATTTTGTTCATAAATATATAGGTATATAAAATTATAAAAAACATTGTGTAAAACATTAGCACGCGCTGAGAGTTCTTTGGGGGCAGAGGACAATCAAAATATATGACACAATAATGTGGGCGAGAAATGATAATGTGTGGGCGTGGACATGGGCATGGTCATAGGCGTGGACGTGGACGTAGCTGTGGCGTGTGCTGTTGTGTGTATTGATGCTTCAAAACAAGGCAAAAGCAATAAATTGACAACAAACAAAAACTCGGTTAGTTTCAAAAACAAATTGCTGGAAGTGTGGCCAAACTTTTGACGCGCCTGTACTGGTTGGTCGTTGGAAAGCAGCGAGAGCTTACTGCTCTCTCTCTCTCGGTTCTCGTTCTCGTTGTTATTGCCAAAGCCCTGTTCTACACACATACAGGCACACATAGACGTCAGCTTAGATGGAGAGAGCGATAGATAAGGCAAGAGACGTTGATAAAGGAGCAACGAGAACACATTGATCGCTCACATACACATGGGTACGCACACAGAGACACACACACACACATACAGCAGTGGCACAGAAAAGTTTTCTCCTTAAAAGCTAACTTAAATTAATGAAGGAAATTTCATTTTCATCTGCCTACAATTGAAGTGATTGTGTGTGTTTATCTGTGTGTGTGCGTGTGTGTGTGGGTGTGTGTGTTAATGAACTTTGCTCTGCAGCTGGCTTAATGTTTTCTCAGGGTGAAAAACGAGGGGCACGACAGAAGACAGAAGGAAGTAGGAAGTGGAGGAGGAAGAGAGAGATAGTGAAAAGGGCGACGAATATATGGGTAAATAATAAAATTGTTTAAATATATACAGTAAAGCAAATAAGGGTTAAACAAACAAACACCAATTTGGTAAATGATTACAATAAAAATTCAACAACAAATGATCGTACATACATATACAAATATAGATATATAATGGTAAAATGAAAATGTGTTAAGATCTGTGGTGGTGGTGGTATTGGTGAGGGGATGTGTGGTTTTGGGGTTGTGGGTGGTGGGTGTTGGGTGGTGGTAGTATTGCAATCAAACATGTTTTTTGTTTTTTATGTGTGTTCATTTTCGAGGTGTGTGTTAATAAAAAAAAATCAATCGTTATATAATATATACAAAATACTAGTCATACGAATTATGTGTGTGTGTTTGGGTGGGTGTTTGTGTGTGTGTCGTAATTGAATAAATTATGGATTGTTAGGAAATCATAAATATATATAATAAAAGAAGAGTTTAAGTAATACTTTCAACTTGCACAAATTATTTGTTCTGGTTATTAATTATTCTGTTTTTCTATTTTTGGTGTTTTGTTCTTTTGCGGCGGGAAGAGCGATGGAGATGTTTGTTGCTCTGTCGCTCACCCCCTCGCAGATTGGATATTGTTTGGTAGTTTCTTTTATACTTTTCTTGTTGCTTGCTTTTTTGCGTCTAATTATGCGGAAAACAAAAAAAAAAAATATACACAACTTCTCTAATTCAAGGCTTTCTTTCGAACGTTTTCAAGAGCTTTTTTCGGAGCACGACTTTTGTGGCACAAACAATTCAATTGTCAAGTAAATATCATTGTGTATGTATTATGTGTATATATAGAGGTATATATAGCAGGTTTGTGTGTGGAAATTGGAGTAATTGGAGTTGTGACCTTGAATGTGGATTCTCTTTTGAAATTTAAGCTCTCGTTGTTCTTGTTGTTGCTGTTGTCGTGCTCTCTGTCTTTTTTGATTCTCTTTTCTTTACTCATTGGCTAACGGTGTCTATGCTAGGCTTTGCTTTTTCATTTGTTTTGTTCGTAGCTCATTTCTTCTGGCTTGATATAGAGGCAGCAAAAACTCACCTTGTGGATCCCGTTGCTGTGCATCCTGTGCCATAAGTCCGAGTTCGTCCTGAGATCTGTCGTGTTGCCATGTTGCATATGCTACAGGGAGGGGAGGGAGGAGCAGGAGGAATGTATTGTTAGTATTATGTATATAAGTATCTCTCGCGAGAACTCACTTTGACTAGATCCTTCGCCACCCTGGCTGGTGCCGGCCGTCTGGTCCAGCTCCTCCATTGTCATATCCTCCTCGTCCAGTGTCAAGTCCTCAACATTCTCGTCGTGCGTATCGTCATCGTATTCGGCCTTGGGTTCGATAACCATTTCTGAGCCCACGGACGACACGCTGTTGTCCTTGACCTTCTGTTTGTGATTGGACGATGACTTATCGACGACGGCTGTCAGTTGCTTGACCACGACACCAGTGTGCACGGCTCCAGCGGACGCACCAGCGCCTGAAGCCGCCGGAGTGACTCCCCCGGCAGCTGCGCTCGCCTCCTCCATATCCTCGGCATCACCGACGTCGCCTTGGGCGCCTTGGCTCTGTGGTTGTACGTTCTCGGTGTTGATGGCATCGCTGGTCTGCTGCTGCAGCAGTTGTTGCTGCTGGCCGGCTGCTGTCGCAGTGGCGGCGTGAGCTGGGGCGGCTGTCGATGATGTTAGTTTAGCGCTTTCAGTCTTTTTGGTAACGTTGGTGCTGGTCAATGGCTGCTGCTGGGTCGGGACTTGGCTGGTGCCGGCCACGTTGCTGCCGCCGCCGGACAGCTGGGTGCTGACCAGGGCGGAGACGGCGAGGCCTGCGCTTGTCTGTTGGAGGATAGACTGATTCGAGGCGGCGGCCTGCAGAACAGACGAGTTGGAGTTGTCGTGGGCATCTGCGGGGAGGGACGATTGGTTAGATCAACCTGCCACTTACGGGGGAATTACTTTTGCAACACTCACCGTTCTCCAGGCTGCGACGTCTGACTTTTCGACGACGGCGCGACGGACTAGACGAGCCCTCGCGCGATCCGGACACATCCCCAGAGGTGTCCATTGCCCCGCCGGTGGCCAGGCGAGCGCGCTTTGTCTGTTCCAGTGTGTAGGCGCCGCTCATCTTGCCACCGCGATGATGCTGAGAGGACTCTGGCTTGGGGGCGGCCGCGGAGCTGCCTCCGCCGGTGCGGTTGTCGGACAGACCCTTGATCTGCAGCGACTCGGCCGCCTTGAGAAGTGCGGCCAGCTGGTCCTGTGAGATGTTGACCTCGCCGCGGTACATGTAGTCCATCATGGCGCGGAGCTCCTGGTACTTGACATCCTTGAGTATGAAGATCGGGTGCTTGTCATACTGTTCTTGGAGTAAGGTCTGCAATTCGCGAGGAGGGAGGATGTCATTGTAGTCATTGTGTGCTCTCTGATAGCGGTGGACAGGGAGTTTTCAATACTTACAGCAAAGTAGGGACTGCAGGCGGACAGAACCACCTTGTGGGCCTTGAGGAACTTGCCCTCGGCGGCGAGCGTGCAGTCGACTAGGGTCTCGTTTTCCAGCAGCGTGTCGAATACGCTGATCAGCGTGCTCTGGTGGTTGTTCCAGCGCAGGCAGAACTGCTGATCGTCGTCCATCTTGGGGCGGTATGTGGACACAGTTGATACGTGAAAGGGGGGTTCACAGCGGGGTGGTGGTGGGGCGGAGGTAGCCCACGTCCTGGACGTGGCCGGGCCGCGTTGTGCTCTCCTCTGGCCGCGCTTTTGTGCTACCGTTCTCGGGTGGATAAAGCAACCTAGTCGGTACAGTTATAGAAACAGTTAAAGTTGGGGAAACAGCTCTTCCTTCTCTTCCTCTTCCTCCGATGATGATCTTTTATCACTTATGCTGCAAGGAAAAATACCAGGAAAAAAAATTACAGTTAGTAAAATGCATATACTCTGAATATTGCAGATTATTCCGCGCCTCAAGGTCAAGTTCATGTTCATGTTAAAAATTTCAAAGCTAAAATGTCTGCCATCTCGTTTCCACAAGCCCACACATACGCACACATGTCTACACTTGCCTGGCAAGATTATTGTTATTTGCATTCCACATCATACAAATGCATACATTTGTACATATGCACGGATGTATGTATGAAAAAAAGAAGAAAACACGCACACTAGAGCGCCCGCTTTGACGCCCAAACACACAACTGCAAATGCAATTTTTCGTGTTCCTTTTTCTTCTTGGTAATTTTTCAACTTTGCTCTTTCCCCCACAACGGAACTGGCGACTGGCTCTCTCTCGCTCTCTTTTTCTCTCCCTCTCGCAAAACGGCAAGCGACGCCAACTGAGAGCCTAACGGATTTGCGGCGATGTTACAGTTGCTGCTCCAGCTCCCGCCTTGTGCTAGTGTTGGAGATCGATGAATACGATAAACGACGACGAAGAGACTTCGTGACGACCGACAAAAAAAACCCCAGCATTAAGCATAAAGAGGGGAAGTTTCGCAGCAGGCAGCGCAGCTTTTGTCAAGTCGCGTCGCTGCAGGCACACGTACGTATGGTACGTATGGGAGTGTGTGACTGTGTGCGCGCTGAAAGGTTTTTTCTTCGTTGTGGAAAATTTCACAAGTAGACACACACATGCACACACTGTGCCAGACGAATATTTATGATGGTTTTCATTTTCCACAAGCACGCACACACACAAGCATATGCCTGATAATTTTGAAAGTTAAAGTGTGGAGCAATCGCCACATTCTCGTCGTCCCCTGTTTCATTTTTTTTTATGGTGTGCATTTAAAAATAGAACATTTTTCATTAGAAGCGAGGCACACCAACACACTGGCACATAGATATGGACGGCTGGGAACATAAACCGATTTCACAATCGCTCCCCCCTTTGCTAGGCAAACGAGCAGCAGCATAGCATATACTCCACAGAATTTATCACGGGCACTTACTAAGTAAATAATTCGCACTAAAAGGTTTTTCTATTCCGCTTGCCGTTGATGTACGCTGTCCGTGCAAGTGTTCGTGTATGTGTATGTAATTTAGTAGTGTGGCCACCAACCGCACGCGTTGTTCGCGATCTACCGCACAACGCAAGAAAAACCAAACAAAAACGGCGAGCAAACGAACGGTACTGAAACGACGACGCAAATGTGATGGCAACTGAGCAAGCGACCGTCGGCCCTCGGCGTCGCTGCTCTCGTTCGTTTTACGCTCTCTCTCTCTCTCCCTCTCGGTCGGAACCAATGGCCGCCCAGCTAACGAAGTTGTTGCAGCCAGCCTGCGTGCGAGAGCGAGAGAGCGAACACGAGTGAGCGTCACTCTCCTTTGGGGGCACGTTATGAAATTGCCAGGCAGGCAGGAGAGAGCAGAGCAGGTAGGCAGAGAAGAGCAGAGCAGAGAGACTGGACAGACAAAAGGAGCCTTTACAAAAACTGCACTGCAGCAGCAATCGTGCCGAACGCGAGCAAAGAAAATATAACGGGAACTACACGAAACACTCACTCACGCACACACACACACACACACACTCACAGGTAGTGGCAAGACAATCGAATTCGCCGCAAACAAGAGATTTTCGGCTGCGCTGCCTGATGAAGATGAGTGGTTTTTCAAAATGGAAGCGAAAATTATTTGCCAGATGGAGCAGCATCATTCCAACTCTCGTTCTTCTTTTTGTTTTTTGTTTTTATTGTTGTGCGTTCATTTCCTGCCGTAATTTAATCATCAGTTCAAAAGAAAAGAGCCAGCTGCAGCCCCAGAGAAGGGAGGAGCGGCGAAGCGAATATAGAAATTCCCAAATGGGAGAGAAAACCTAACTGTGCTCGTGCCAACATTCCAGCAACGAGCGCAACAGAGACGGCACCACACATACATATGTACGTGTACAAATGTGCTACGTGACGCACTCGCCAATTGAGGCTCCCTTTTCCACAGACACATTTATATGTTGTGTATTTTGTTGGTTTTAAGTTAGTTTTTTTTTCGCCAAAACGAAAAAGGAAGGGAATCATCCGATCCAGGCGAAAACAAAAAAAAACTAGAGAGAATCACCCCCAGCGTGTCAAGTACCGTTAGGCGTCGCATCATTTCATGGCAAGGGATCAGTTTTTCCACGAACTAAGGGTATACACATCAACTCCAGAAGGAGCGGAGCAGAGTGCAGGGCCTGCGCAGTGGATAGCGCCATGTGTTCAGTAGAGTAGAGTAGAGTTCAGTTGCCAGGGCAGCAGCCGAAGCAGGCAGCAGGCTCTTACCCCAACCTTAATGATGCATTGGCTGGCTAGACATGGGCCAAGGGGTTTTCCTCTCTCTCCACACACACACACACACGCGCGCACGCACAAAGCAGAACTCGATACAAAAGGGGATTTAGTACACACACAAAGGCGAGGGGACAGAGAGACAGTGACAGAGTAGGTAAAACTGGAGAGAGGGAGGGCGGGAAGAAAAGGAGGAGAGGTGGAGGAGGCCGCAACAGCAGTCGCATGAAAAAGGATCTCTCTCGCTATCGCTCTCAGTCTCCGTCGCCGTCTCTCTTTCCCCTTGTGTCGGGCGCGCGCTCTTTGCACATTGCAAGGTTCTGTTTTTGCGCAGATGGTGGAGGATTATAAACGAACGAAAAAATGGGATCCTTGCGCCGTAATGGCGTCGTTGCCTGCTATTGCTGCTGCTGAGAGAGTTGGAAGCGAGAGATGGTTCGGCTGCGTGTGTGTGTGTGAGTGTGTTTGCATGTGTCTGTGTGGAAAAAGTACAGTTGGGTCCAAGGCGCGCATTTCTTTTGGGGTTCATCTTTTTCTTAGTGAATGCGAGAGACCGGGAAAATGCGAGAATGGGGGATGGTGAAAACTGAGCTTGTGTTGAGGTCTACTATCAAACGATGTCCAAGTAACGGTTTGCGAACATTGTTAGCGAAAATCTCAACTGGAGTTCAATCTTGCAACCGCATTCTGAATGTTGGGATATGGAAATGGCATCCTCAACACTTTTGTAATATGCTGCTGCCTGAAGGACGATGATGATGATGATAAAACAAGGTCGGTCTCTTGTGCTGAGATCTACTATCAAACTACGTTCAATTTTCATTATACGAAACGTTGTTAGCGAAAAACTCAACTGAAGATATAATCTTGCAACCGCTATAATTACTATATGGAAATCTTATCCTCCATAAGTTTCGAGTAGCAAGTATTGCATTGGGTCTGAGAGTATCTTATGAGTCCTGAGAATACTGTGTTGAGATCTACTATCAAACTACGTTCAAATTTCATTTTACGAAACGTTGTTAGCGAAAAACTCAACTGAAGATATAATCTTGCAACCGCTATAATTACTATATGGAAATCTTATCCTCCATAAGTTTCGAGTAGCAAGTATTGCCTTGGGTCTGAGAGTATCTTATGAGTCCTGAGAATACTGTGTTGAGATCTACTATCAAACTACGTTCAAATTTCATTTTACGAAACGTTGTTAGCGAAAAACTCAACTGCATTTTTGGTGTTGCAACCGTTCTGTCGTATGGAAAGTGTACTAATTTCCATACTTTACGATGAACGAGATGCTGAATGGTGTATGTTGGCTGGAAATGTGAAGAGATCTACTATCAAACTATGCGCCAGTGTCCGCAGACGTCACGCAATGTTAGCGAAAAAATCTTCTATGATTAATCTAGGCAAACAGGATGGCTTAGAGAACTCATTGAATCGGATTCAATGCCAACATGCTCGAGTGCCGAATGGAAATGCAAGGGTAGGGATGCGATGCGATATGATGATTGGATTTGATGGGATGGGATGGGGTAGCGGATAATAAAAAGATGTCGGACCGGTACGTCCCCCCGCTTCTAAGCACGCGCCAGACGGCAACCCCGAAAACTGGTTTTGCTCCCTTCGGAGCGGAGCGGGAGAGGGAACACGAAAAAGGGTCCAAAAAAAAGTCTAGCTCAGCATTTTTGGGGTTGCAATCATCCCCTAAGCAACTGCAGCGCAACGGATGTTGTTCCTGGGTCTGGGTCGGGGTCTGTCCTGCCCGATCCCCCTCCTACAAACCATCCCTCTTTGGGCGGGCAGATGTTGGATCATGAGCCACAACTGTCGTCCTTTTTGCCACAGGAAGTGCCTTAAAAGGCTGGAAATTGGAAACTGCAAGGCCCCATGGGGTTTCGCTCGCTCTCTCTCTCTCTCTCTCTCTCTCTCTGTCTGCAAGTGAGAGAAAACTCTGTCGGCTCGAGTGTGATTTCAATATGAATGCCCCTCCGGGCACCGTCGCTTGCGCCTGGCCTGTTCCCTGCCTGGTTTTTCTGTGTTCTTAAAAAGTCAAAAGAAAAACCGGTTCTGCAGAACATAAGAACTGTGCCATTTCGAAAAACGGCGACGCTGGGCGGACAGCGACGGCGACGGCAGGCGGGTGGTGGTTGGAGTCGAGTAAAGTCGGTCCCCGATCGCATTGAGTTGTTGGCAGAGAAAACCAGTTTGAGGAACTCATTTCACATCGGAGCCAGAAAAATCGCCATGACACAGACACAGAGACGGACGGACACTCACACCGATGCAGAAAATCAAATTTAAAATGGAAATAACTGAAATGGGAAGGCGGCGAAAGAGAAAGAGGGGCACCAGTAGCAGCAGCAGCAGCAGAAGGCGACTGGCACTGGCACTGGGGCTGGGGCTGGCCAAGAACAAAATATAAAACTTCCCCCACAAGATTTGCATAAAGTGGAATCTTTTTTTTTTTTAGCTCGTTCCAATCTCCGCCTCTGTAGCTGTATCTGTGCGAGAGGTGTGCCTCTGTGTGAGTGCGTGCGAGACATAAAATTTGTATATTTACGACGTAAAAATAAACCGCCGCAGATCCGATAGTCGATGGTGTGCTGTGCTGTGGTGGGGCGACTGTGGCTCTGCTGGCACAGGCACTGACTTTCAATAATTTAATTTCTGGCATTTTAGAATAGCAACAACAACAACAGCCGAAACCCATAACATAACTCCCATCCCTCTCCACAGCCAAGGCCCCCCCCACCAATAGCCTCCGACAACCCACGTAGGCGTCGCGCGCGTCTGTCCCTCATTTGTTTATTTTTACACCCTTTCTGCTTTTCGCCATTTGGTCGAGAGAAGGGGGAGAGGGTCGAAGAGCATATCCACTGATGGATGGAAGTTGTACGTAGAAGAAATATAAATATTAGCGAGGGATAGTAATCAGTCATACATTATATTGGATTCTATGGAGTTTCCCTCACTCTCTTTCTGGGATTTTCAACAATGTATTTATAATTTGTCATTGAAAGTGTATCGAACATTCCGTTTCTCATTTTCATCTTTTCCCTGTCCGCTTCGTTCTGGTGTTTCGGTTGCCTGGCCGCAGAAAATGTCGTTTTTGCCATTAAAGCAGCGAAAAGCGAAGCAAAACAGCCATAAGCTGAGCCGCCACAAAACTTGTTTTTCGAAAAGGCATCCAAAGTGAATGTTAAGGGCTTTGTTGGACCTGTGTGTCAGACAGAGTGAGAGAGAAGTCGGGTCGGTGGTCTTGGGTGGAGGCTATATATCTATTGGAAGCCTAATTTGGTCCGCTGAAAATTTGCTTCGCTGATGAGAGGTCGGTCGGTCTTCATTTTGGTTGTGTTGTTGTTCGCTTTTTGGGCTTACTATTGTAATTTAATGTGGGTTCTGATCTGAAACTGAAGGTTTTTCCACACTGAACGGATGTCAAAAAAATACTTTTGGCTCGTCTAAACTCACGCAACAAATACTTGGGGATAGGAAAGGCAATAACACATCAAATGGGAAGGGAAGGTGTACTAATGTTCATGGCAGTTTCTGCACCGCACCACCTTCCAAGTGAAAGTGATTTTATCACGCACCACACCACCCGAAAGGCCAGAGACAGCGCGGTAATCAACAATAACAAAAAGTGAAACACAAAAGTTCAACGAACTTTTTCGCTAATGGCATCGGCGGCGGCGCAAAAAGCGAAAATATAATAAAAACTAACAAAAAGTAAAGGCTGAACACAGAGCCCAAAGAGCAGGTGACGATAACGGGCCGCAAAAAGTCTTGTTATTACGGTTTACTATAATAATAATAATAATAGTATCAAAGAATCAAGAATAAAGCAGAATATCGGATAGGCGAAGTGTGTAGGTCAGTGTAGGGTGCGAAGCCCACTTGCAAGGTCATTTCATCTCATCTCATTTCGGTGGGCTATGTGGGGGCATACGGGCATTCATTTTGCTGAATCTGCAGAGGCCAAGATCAGATCACGATGAGGAGAATGCAGCAGAGCAGGTAAACTAGTAAACAGAGAAGTGATGAGAAAAACATTGGCAGCTTTTCGGGGGATTTGCGCGTTTTTCTTTGCGATTTCTACACTTGTTGCGCAAAAAAGCTCTTTGCTCTTCAGCGTTTTTTGTTTTTTTATGGGTCTCGCATTTTGTTATTATTCTGCACATGTGCGTGGAATGTAAACAAATGAAACTTTTGCAAAGCTGCAAAGCCATGTGAAGTTTGGCAACGTTGCGCGCACCTTCTAACGGAGCAATGGCAGGCAACATGGCGGACGGCAAAGGCAGAAATCGCGCGCGCGAGACGACGAAAATATGAAAAATGAAAATGTAAACGTGTCTGTAGAGCACAAAACAATAAAACAACAAAAACAACACGAAAAAAGCGAAGCAAAAGAAGTGTAGCACAAAGTGGAAACCAAAATATGTGGCGAACAGGCAGGCACAGGGAGAGAGAGTGAGAAGCGAGGAGAAGAGACAGAGCGCCAACTTGGCGCGTCTGTGCATGTGTATGAGTACGTGTGTTTGTGTGAAAAGTGCAGAGAGAAAATTTCACGCTTTTTTTCTCGAACAAACATAAAACGAAAAGCAAACGAAGTCGGGCCCCGAATACCGAAAGCCACAGAGTGAGAGGGAGTAAGAGTAAGAGAGAGAGAGCGAGCTCACCGCGACGTCGCAGCATTGAACAAAATATTTTATGTGTGGAGGGGTCTCTGTCTCTGCCGCTACCTCTGCTTCTGTCTGACAAAGGGGGGAAATCCAAGATGGCGGCCACACATAGAGCTAGAAATGTGGAAAACGTGCTCTACTTGGGAGTCGAGTCTGAATATTTTCCGTTTATTTGTGGACCTACACGGTGCATTTGAAAGAGCTTTTGTTCAACTGTCACACTGCTGAGCGCGTATGGCACTCTGTTTTCCGCAGTTAATTAGAAAAAGCTTATGTAACGCACTCACTCTCTCACACAGCTAGCTGCACTCTCTCTCTCTCTCGCAGTGAAACATTTTCTCACTGCAACACTTGACCTCATTTGCATGGAAAGCGAGTACGTACGTATGTGCGTGCGTTTGTGTTCATGAAAATTAATGAAAATTGCCCGTCATTTACTTCAAAATGCATACAAAGCGAGAGCCAAAAGCTCTGCCCTGCTTGTGGAAAAGCTTTCCCCCCTAGAAAAATCGATATCAACCAGCAGCAGACATTGGAAATATCGATTTGATATGCAAAAAATCCCTCACCCGCACACTCACACACACACACATTGATAGATGCTTTGAACACAGATTAGAAAGTACAGTTCTAGGCAGTGCATTTTCGCATTTCGTCATATCAGAAGTAATATTGTTAATTATACACACCGAAATAGAATCACAGGCAGCACGTAGTCGTCGATTTATGAAACTTTGCACATATACAATTTAGGTGTTGATTTTCCAAGAAGTGCACACACACACGCGACGGAAAAAAGCAATAAAATCGAATTTATTTTTATTAAAACGAGCCAAGTTCTGGTTTCCGCAGTACGTGTTGTATATGTAAGTATGTGTGCTCATATGTATTTTCCTTGCTGCTGCTGCGGAGTAGGCAGAGCAGAGCAGAGAGGAAGAGTAGAGCCACACCGCACAACAGGAATTGTGAACGCGCGGAGTGGAAGTGACGGAGTGACGTGAGCGAACAGAAAGTGTTTGCCTCTAACCTGAGCAGAGCGTTCAAAAACCGAACACGAACCGACAAGAGCGAGAGAGCCAGAGCAAAAGAAAAAGCAAGAGAGAACAGAGTTCGAAAAATGAGTCGTCGTGTATGTGTGCGAGAGAGTGTATTTTGTATGCTGGCCGCGCGCGCCCAGCGTTTCCAACGCCAAAAAGAAGCACTTACACTGGCTCTAATCTGTGCGAGTCGATTGAGTCGAGCTTGAAAGCATTAATTAGCATCTGGAACGATGCTGGGAATATTGATTATCTGCAGGGGCTTTGAGGCACGGCACCACAGTTCCCATGTAGTAGGTCGGTAGGTTGGCAACTCTGTTCTATGTGAAGCCATAATGTTCGCCAAACCAAACCCGAATGTTGCAAACTACCGTTGCCGAACGAGCACTCTTTGTCTCTCTCTCTCTCTCTCCCTATCGTTGTGTGTGCATCGTACATCCTAATGTATGTGTGAGGTGCATTTTCTACTAAAAAGTGCAAATTATATGATGGAAATGTGGGGACTTTTTATGATCGCTGGCTGGTTTATTTTGGGTTTTCAGAATGACTTCATCGGTGTAAAATTATGCGCCATAACCTTTAACGGTTTACCGTTTAGCGCACTCGTGCGAAATTCTACAGGTCTAACCGTACTAATTGATCGAACGGTGATAGTTTGGGTGGGGGAAATTATGCTCACTCACCTGCTTTTTCACTGGAAAGCCTTCGTCCCGTCTCCCTCTTTGGCACAGAACAGGCCGAGCATCACGTAGGAGCGATTTCCTTGCACACTTTTTCCACTCTCCTCTCACGCTATATCCTACGAGAAGAAGACGCACACACGAACGCGTTTCAAATGTATAATTATCTCGGTCTTGTCTCTTTTTAATTATTGAACAGCAACAATTTATATTTATGCATTTCCACTCGAAGCACAGAAAAAAGTGAAGCAAACTGCAAACGAAACTGTCACTCTGTTTTTCTTTATTTTTTGTGTATTATTTTATGTAATGCGCGCTGTGTGGAAAATTAGAAACAGTGTTTTGGGGAGTGGGAGGTAACAGTGAACAACAACGACCGAACGAACGAACGGAGCAACGACAACGATTTTATTCCTGAGAGTGCCGTTGGTTAATGAATTTGCTGCAAAAAGGTATTGTGCGAGCAGCAAGAATAGAAGTCGAAAAGCTACACAGACACACACACATCGAAATACTTATCTGTATGTGTATGTGCGACACGAAGTTTCTGCTTTTGTTGTTCTTTCTGGCGGCGCTGCATTCGAAAAACCGAAGATCGTTCGGGCGCTAGAACAAGTGAGCGAACGCGAGTCGCACATGTATGGGTGAGCCTGAGAGAGAGAGTGTGTGAGTGGGTGAGTGAGAGGGAGCGATGACGATACAGTTGATTGCTTTTTGCAACTGTTCTCGAGTAGGGGAGGGGGTGGGGGATGTGGAAGAAGGAAGTATTGCTAAATGAAAAAGCAAAGAAAATGCTTGGGGGCCTAGTATATTTTGTGTGTCGGTTCTCGTGGGGGAAGGGTTCATATTTATGTATAGGTAGGTGTGTATATGGGGGAAATATGTATGGAGTTCTATTGACACGAAGTATAATGCAAACAGATCGGATCATAGTCTTATGTATGTATTCACTATATGCTACATGAGTTTTTCTTGCAAAACTAAACCAAAAAATACTCAATAGAAGTAAAACTTGAAACATTCAAAAATGAATTCTCTTTTGTCTATGGAAAATGTTTAGGTACAAAAGAACAAGGCATTTTGTGTCGTTATGGAGCCGTTTATTACCTGATTAGGGAGATATAATTTCCTACGGTAAAAATATGAACTATACTTTGGGTCCCAATGTATAAATCGGGGCTTCTAAAAAAGTGGTTGAAGAAGATATCAATTAAATGTTGAGATACAAAACAAAAGAATGTGATATTAGAGAAGGAGGTGCATATTAGTTAATAAATATTTTTAGCAGGCCAGTTAAAATTCCAACGAGGGGTAGGTGGTATTTGTGTAGAAAGGTGTCAGGAGGAAATACCAAACTTTCTGTTTATAGCTCCCCTCTTTTTTGCATATCACACGAAGCTGGAAGCTGTTTGTTTCTGCCAATTGCTACTTTCTAATGGAATCTTTGATGAACAATACATGGATACATTTCTATAAATCTTTCCCCCAATTTTTTTCTCTTTTCTTGCATTAGCAATTGCCAAAACTTGATTTTGATGCTTAAATATAAATGATTACTTGTTTCTTGACTTGAAAACAAAAAACAAAAATGCATGACATAAGACTTTGCCGCACCGCAGATCAAATACCCTTTTCAGTGCAAAGACCAGCAATGGAAATATTTACGATATTAATGTATTTTTTCTTTAGTTCCAACCAGAATTTAATACATGTAAAATCATTTTAAAATTAATTTGCAGAAGTAAATCGATTAGCATGCTGATCAAGTAAGGCATTTCTTTCGTGCGGTACAAATCGATCCCAAACGAAGAGTAGACTTTTGCAAGTGTATAAAAACAATGACAGCGCACAGCATGAGAGAGAGAGAGAGAAAGATCCCAATTACACACTCACACACACACAAATGGAACCGCAGGAGCAGCAGCAACAACAAGCGACTGCTGCGGCTGGCTTTGTCGTCGTCGCCCGCGCAGCAGCAGCTTTAAAAAAGCTGCGCTCAAAGAAATTAACAATAAAAGTTGGAAATTTTTGTTCCTTTTCTTTTTCTGGTTGGCATGACGAAGAAAATATTCGCTGAAGGTAAGAAGAAGAGAACAAGAGTTCCAAAAACTCGTTTGGCATTCGACATTTATACGAACAAATGTATGTAAACACACATACATACATATACATGTGTATGTATATTTTTGGCAACACTTCTACGCTGTTGCGTTTTTGTTGTTGGACAGACAAAGTGAAAATTTATGCCGCACCCCGCTCACTCGAGACAGACAAACAGGCGAACGAACGAACGAGCGAACGAACGGACGGACAGCAACAATGTTGAGTGGAGTGAAGTCTCCAGGCCGTGATTTCACGCAGCACACACACACAACACACACCGCACACCACACACATTCCAATCCAATCCATTTCAAACCCGCCAACAACAAATAAACAAAAGTCAATATGTAATTGTATTTTTATACCCGGTCCCCGTGGAGTCGAAGAGAGTGCCAGTAGCTAGAGTCTAGTAACTAGAGCATCAAACAACGGGTCAATCGATACAGCCAGCCAATCTCATCCTTTCCTTCAATTTAAAATCTAAGCTGTCGATCTAATCATGGGTATCTTTTAGTCGCAATATAGTCCAAATCTTCTATTTTTGTATTTTTTTTTCAAAAATTTTCGTCGACAACTTCGCTGGCTTTCGTGCGTGTGTGTGCGTGCAGCATTTTTTGTGGGTTTTCTTTCCACACACTTCATTTCGTATTCGTGCTCGCCTCTGTTGTGTGTGTGTGTGTGTGTGGCTTGTTGCTATTTTTGATTTCCATTATATTATGCTTTTGCGCCGCTTTTTCACATCTCCCATTCCAGCCCCGTCCCGTCCCGTCCCTTTCCTTTTCCCAATTCCTATTCTGATTTCTGAGCTTCGTTTTCATTCGAACTCGAACCAGAATTAGCATGTGTGCTCGCTCTCTCTCTCTCTCTTTCTCTCTGTTCACTGCTCTCCCTATGCATGTGTTCGTGCGTGCTTCGAGTGATTGATGGTCTCTGCGCTGCGCTGCTCGGAGAATGCTCGTTCGCTCACAATCTTCCGCTCCCCGGCCGACAGCTTCCCCCTTTCCTAGAAGGGAAATATTGAGGCTGCCAAAAATATTTGTTGTTAATGGAACTTTCTGGTTTTCTTTCGCTTGGCAAATTTATGCTTATTTCTCTTCTTTTGATTCTTTTCTTCTCATTACTTTTTGGGTCAATGAGAGTAGAGCCAGAGAGAGCGATGACAAGAGAGCCGAGGCTGTTGGTCCGGGTGAAAGGAAGGCGGACCAGACCGGACCGGACCGGACCGAAACCGACAGCTCCCTCACCATCCATCCGCCTCAGCTTTCCCATTTTCGTAATCAGCATCATCGGGGTGCCAACTGCGCACATTTCCACTTCCGATCCGCCCAGGATTATCGATTTTCCCTACCCTACCACCCAGAAAGAAACACGGCGGACAATTACATTACGAGCAGCAATCAAGGACGACAGGCCGTCAGGGGGTGGGTGGTCGGGCGTCGGGCATCGGGCGTTGGGCGTCTGGCAACGGCAGCCAAGCATGATCCCCTCTGCTCTGCGCCTGTTAACCGCATTTGCAACCCTCCTCCTCCTTATCCTCCTCCACCTCCCATGCCGGATATGCCGTTGGTGCTGGTCCCTTTTCTGTTTAGGGGGGTTGTTGGGCAAAGAGCTTTTGTGTGTATGCCGTGTGCACATGCTGCTGACAAGGACAGAGACCAACCCTAAAGCGGGGAGCGATGGCACTCCATTCGGATCACAGGCACTCGACGACGGCGGGTGGTAGGGTAGGGTGCGAGGGTGGTCGGCCGGTTGGTCCCCTTTTTGCCCTCCCTGTCTTGTGTGGGGTGGAAACTTTCACATGGAGATCCTGCTGCCGCCGCAAGGGTTGCTTGGCGGGACAAAATCCCCCCATTTTGCTGCCCCGAAAACAAAGCGTCAGCTGCGTTTTGCCGATCCCACAGGGGACTTGGACTTGGCGCAAAAAAAAAAAAAGGAGTAGAGTTGCATTTAACCCCTAAAAAAAGTTCAACAAACCCCGCGAATTGGATACAGAGAGGTAGGGAGGGGTCCTTGTCCTGTCCTGAGGTTGCATGCATCCTGGATTTTTCCTACCCCCAAAGCAGGAGCAGGGAAACACAACAGCTGCAGATCCAACGACCAAAACCACCCCTAACAAAGCGAGCAGAGCAGCGATGCGATCGTTGCATGCTTCTCCGATCAGCTTGATCGATCCATTCCACCCTTGGGTACACACACACACACACACTCGTATGGTATGGCAGGCGGCCGCCCAGTTCCAGCCGCCACTCAACTCCATTAAATTCAATTGACAAAAGGAAATGAACATGAACATGCAAAAAAAAAGAGAATAAATGTATTATACAGCCACACACACAAACACACACAACGTACAAAAACGAAACGGAACACACGAAAAACAGATTAATGGAGAACAGAGCAGGCAACGCGCTCGTGAGGGGCGCATAAAAATGGGAAAATTCAAGGTACCCGCCCGAATGGAGAGGGGGGCCAGGGCAGAGCAGATCGCCGGCGGGAGCCAACGCAGCACATCTGCTCTTCTGGGCTGTGCATACGTACACATGTATGTATGTATGTATGTACATGCATATAGGCTGTATAGGTTCTATAGAAATTGTGGCCATGTTGCCAGCAGCGCGCTGGCTTTGCATTTCCAATTTACATTTGTATGCATGTGCAGCAGCAGCGGCGGCAAGCAGAGCGAAAAAGCAAACTGAAACCAAACCGCAAACAAGGCGACGGCGAATTCGTTTCGATCAGGAATGCCCGACCATGCAGGTACCCCACACTGGTACAGACTTGATTGGCTCTTAAATCCTTTGCACATGTAAAATGGCTTGTATTCGTCCACAAAACTAGGGGATACCCATTACACACTTTATTATTGGTCTGATACACCCAGAGATTTTCACTTCGTGCTGGGTATTTCGAGACGACTTCAAGGTTAGCCATGCCCCCCGAGAGCGAGTAGAGTTGGCGTCCGTCCCACGCACTCTGCTGACGTCGCAGTCGCTGTAGGCGTCACTCTGGAACTTTGGCTGCTTCCTTTTTGATTTTCTTTGCCAGCTTCTCCTTCTTCCACCTCATTGTATATACATATGTATCTATAGTGCATATGGGACGAGTATGCATGTAAATGAGTTTCAGCACAATATATAAAAATAAACATTTTTTTGTGCTTGCATTTTTTGTTTTCCCCCTTGTCTTGTGCAATTTCTGTGCTAAATTTAAACGCAAAAAAGGAATTTTTATGGAACAGCTGTATTCGCCTTTAAAAAAAAAAGAAGAAGAAGAGCAGAAAGAAGTAGAAACAAAAGAT